GACAGACAGATAGACAGAAAGATATATATATTTAATTTGACAACTAGACAGTAGTTCCTTTGCAGATTAAGATTTTAGTTAATTAAAACCAGTGTTTTTCTGTGTTTATGGCTTTTGAACCCTTATAGAAAGCAGTGTGTAGGTAGGGCTTCTTGTCACATTTTAGATTTCTACGGGTTGTTACTGTAGCACTTCTGGTGATTTCCGCTCAAAACTTTTCGGACGGTTTCATTTAAATAAATGATTAAATATTTCACAAGAAAGAGAAAAGATGAGAGAAAAGTCCAAAAATTAATACAGATGTGTCTGCCTGAACTTGAGATTAAACACCTCAAGACTCAGTAAGTGACCCTTCGGAGGGGGTCCGACCCCTAAGTTGAGAATCACTGCACTTGTGTGCATATATAATAGTTAAACTTAGCTCCACCTCGACCTGCTGCAAAAGTAAAATGCTGCTTATGCACTGATATAACACAATCTAATAATGTATTATATGATAATCTGTCACAGGCAATTTTACTGAACATAGTTTTAACGAATTTTGATACTATAAATAGAAACTGCACAAGGTCACGTACATATGGACACTTACACATGGACACCTTACACATGGCATACTGTTACACATGGCACTTTACACTTGCCATTTTTTTTGCAAGTGTGACTTTAAACTGTACATTTTATTTTTAAACTTTTATATTCTTAATATACTGTACGTCTATTACATCTGGAGTATATATATATATATAACGAGAGTAATTTCCCCCTGGGATTAATAAAGCATTTCTGATTCTGATTCTGATTCTGATTCAGTAGATAACAGCTAGAAAGATAGAGTATAAACAGAAGATGCAGTAGCTGGATGGATATGGTGCCTAGAGAGAACATGTAGTGTATATAGAGTTGTATAAACATACCTTATTTATTCTTTGAATCACAATGCCATCTTTTAGCCAGGTCATGGTTGGAGTAGGGTTGCCATTAGCAACACAGGCAAGAGAGAGGTGACCTCCAACCAGAGCTTCCACCACAGGAGGCGGGGCTTCAGTGAAGGTGGGTGGAGCTACAGAACCAAACATTAAGGTGAACATTAAACTAAATCAATATCTATATATATGAGGAAACCACCTAGTGTTTAAGATACACCACCACATTTTCTGTAAAAATACACCTAAATCAGATCAAATAAGGTTGAATGGACCGCTAATGTGACATATGGACACTTTACTGTCTAGAGCAAAAGAAAAATTTAAAGCAATCTACACTATCGTCCAAGCTGCAGCGGTACACGAGAAACTGCAAAGAGAAAGGCCGGACTAACAGACAATAAATCTTTTGTCTCCTTCATCCCTTTTTTTTATCAATTTATATACAGCATGACAGCAACTTGGCCTTGTTTGTTAAACCGCAGCAGCCTGTGTGCAGTTTACTGTCATCAAGTTACATTATTATTTCACATACCAAAGTAAAAATGTCAGTTATGCTGCCTTTTAGATCTGCTAACATGAACATTTTGCTGCCACTTTAAGTCTCAGATCTCAGAGAACACACAGAGAGCATCCAAACATAAACAAAACCACTTGCAGCTCCAGCAGTTCAATACAATTTGCTCATACCTCTATTGCACCACTGTATAATAAATAACCAGAGAATTTTTGAGTTTGAAAAAGGCATTAGTATTTTTCTTTTTATAAGTATAACAGTCATTTTTCTTTTCTTATCTGAGTCACAGGTTGAGATATTTGATTCAGCATCTGTACACAGGAGAGACCTGGTGAAAATCCAATCTATGATTACAAAATACCTGCCAAATACTTACTCCTGGTCCCTAAAAAATGTATGTAAACATGTAAATATATTTAGTCACACAAAAACAGGAGTATGTCCTGCTAGCAGTGCATTTCCAGCCTGTGAAGGCCACTGACAATCTCACATGTTGAGTAGAAACAACAGGATGTGAAGAGCATATCTGCAGGGCATGTCAGTGAAGTTACATCTAAGGCCTCAAGCACACAGTCATAATCTATTATAATTCTCATCTCTAACCTGACGCTCACACAGACCAAATCGGTGAAACTGTCTCGCTTGGCTTTGATCTGCACTGCGCGCCGATGCTTTGTTCTGTACGTTTATGCGTAGAGTCACAGCAAAGTTTTTCTCAAATACACATAAACTTCAAAGCACAAAAATAATGATGCATATTTCATATTTAGATGTATTATTTAAACCTATCAATAAGTATGATGATAACCCCAGTCAGAGATGATTCTTTACAAAACCTGCATGAAGTCAGAAGTTATCCAAATTACCTGATCTGTCTAAAAAGTTTCTGAAAAAGACTTGTTTTAACAAAAGTTATTTTTACTACTTTTTCAAAAGTTTTTCAAAGTGTTATACATGTAGCACCTGTGTGTTGGATTTAGTTGCATATAGTGGTGTAGTTGCAGATTGTAACTCGCTCGCTTCACCCTCCCTTTCCAAGCACAAGGGAGAAACAATGGTGGCTACGAAACACGGAGAGAACACAAACAGCCCTATCTAGAGACAGATTCTGGTTTGTCCGTTCTCGGGTGATTATACACTAATGAAAACATATCTATGAATATTTAATTCCATCTCTACCAATTGATCCTCCTAAATGTTACACACTGGACCTTTAAGCAGTGCTTTACAGAACAAATTAAATAAAAGACAAGATGTGCGGAAAATGGAATGGAAGATTTCATAGTGCACGTTCAATTAGACTAAACTGCTCAATGAGGCTGACAGAACATCCAAATGTAGTGAGAACCCATAGATTTGCATTACTTGGCCAAGATATGGAAAGTTGCTGAAATCTTTTCATTGAATAGGAAAACTGAAATCTACAAAATGTGCTTTTAAAGAACAGAGGGTGGCTCCTGCAGAGAGAGTAAAAAATGACCTACAGGCAAAATATTCACGTCTACCAACCAGTAATAAAAAAAAGAATAGGACTAAGGATAAATTGCATGTTGCATCTGGATAATGAAGACTTTAAAGGTCATCTCTGGCTGACAGTGGATGCCTGCTTACTGCAGTTTTAATACGGACATAAACTGAAAATTTTGATAAGAAGAGATCAAAGAATAAAGTTGTATTTCCTTTCTTGCAGTGACAGCATCACCTTACATTGATGTTTTCCATATTTGTGAGGGTGGGCACTAAAAATAGTTACAGGTAGACCAGCTGCTGTGTTTTACGTTATTAGTCAATGACTACCTGTTGCTGACAGTGACAGTGAAAAAATAACACCAGCTGCATGAGGTGGGGAACCAATGCGCAGAAAGTGGTGATGCATTTATGGTAAAACAGTTCCAAACCTAAAAATAATACATTTTTATAAAATACAGTTAACTGATCAAAAAAAAAAGTTTTCTTGCACATTGGGCCCCTGAACATGGGGGAACCAGTGAGGTGACCCATGAAACAGAGAAAGACAGCTAAAGCTAGCTAACCCCCCCTCGCTAGCTAAACCCCTCCCCCTCCAAACACAACACTGTGTGAGAGCTGCCGATGACTCAGCAGGTGTTGAAATAACATGTCTGAAAAGAACTGTGGGAATCTGTGCTAATGCTAGCAAGCTAGGCTAACTGGTTCCACTGGAGAAATACAAACTTAAGAGCACAATGGGGCCTCCCAAATGTTATGCGTTTTAAAGCAACAGATGTCTTAAATCACTTCGTAGGCTGCAGCGCTATGATGCACTTCAGTCAGTAGTGCATCATGGGAGTTGACAGTGCGTCTCCTAGCAACTCCAGCCCTCAAATGTCAGTCAAACGCTGCCATGGGAAACGCCCACCCAAAGGCCTGAAGCTAAGACACTTTTTCCAAAAATATGTATTCCAGAAATTATGCACAATATCTGCACTATCATTATTGTTTGCATTTGCTTATACAACAAGAGAGAAGAATTCAATTTATGACCCTACAAAAAGTATATTTAATTGCGACTTAATGAAAAATAAGCATTTGTTTTCTATGAAAGATCCAAACATCTCATACATATATTAAATGTTGTCTAAGCACAAACAGCAAGAACTTTTTCTAAACAAAATCCACAAATTATAATTTCAGTCAGAAATATATAATCAAATAATAAATAAACAAGATTTTGAATCTGAATCTGACTGTTGGAGACACAGTCTCAGTTGGTTGCAAAATAAACTGAGGTACAATACCAAGCCCTATACAGTATATATGCCTACTTGATGTCTTTTCTCTGCTGCATGTTGTGGAATTCACACTGAAGAGTAAAAGTTATAAAGTCTAAAGTCTATTCGGACTCCCTGTGTTTTGATTGTCACACCGGTCGAAGACCACTGTAGATATCGGGGCCAAACGTTATTTATTTACATTTTACATCACTGGTTTTGACTTATGAAGACATACATGATATACTTTCAACACACACACACACACACAATAAACCTCACCGGTTACAGAAAGCACAGTCCAGGTGCCGTTTTGCAGCTCATCTGTGGGTTCATCCAGTAAGAGGATGCGACACTCATATGAACCCTGGTCGTGTAGCTGCACGTCCTCCAGCCTCAGGGCGGTGATTCGGACCAGAGACACCCGCCCTGCAGAAACAGAGCCCAGTTTAAGGGTCATGAGACAGAACAAATGTACGTGATGTTGATTTCACTTGTCATTTCTCAGGTCTGAGCTGTGTGTAACTGTTTGGAGTGTGTAGCTTTGCAGTGCTGAAAAGGAACATTGTCCTCAAACGTAGCCTGAAACTGCCGAACGCACGCAGACACACACTAACAGCAGCCAACGCGTGCACACGCAAACCTGCAAAAGTGTGATCTCCTGGTTGCCAGGTGACGGCTCCCTCGAGCTAGAGTGTAGCTTGCAACATCAACCCTTTATCTTTTCCAGTGTGCGGCCCACATCTTTCTGTGTCAATCTAGTTTTCACACTTTATCTGACGGACAATTGTCCAGTGGCCTTACAGCAAGGAACTGTCAATGGAAGCATTATACAAGGACACACAGTCTTCTGCCCAACATTTCAGAAATAAAAACATGTCAACAGCAAAGACAGTGCAGCGTGGAAGCCTCTGTGCCACTGGGATGACTGTGTTGTGATGGTAATTATTAACAGAGGCTCTGATTTCTAGTGACTGTGGCAGGGAGGGACAGCCCTGACAGTCAAAAAGAACCAGGAAGTTGGAGTTAGGTATGTTGGCAGCGATAACACGCCTTATTTACTTTTCCAAGCTGCCAAAGGGGACTAAATCCACAGGGGGAAGAGAGGGGAGGGAGGGTTAAAGTAGAGCAAAATACACATCAGCATACACTCGGGGGATTAGTGCATTTCAAAATCCTACCCTTTGACCCCTGGCAGTTTTTTTCCCCCTCTCTCATGTTTACTGGCTCAGTGTGATATAGGTCACTATAGCACCTCAGAGGAAAGGTTGTGCTGAGGCAGGGATGTTGTGGGACCGTGACTGGGAGTCGTCAGATAAAAGGGAAGGGGAAGGGTGGAGGTGAAGTGAGAGCATGACCTATCGCCACTGCTGCTGCCATTTGAAAAATGCATGATTGCAAGAGATTTGAATGCGAGGTAAATTGAGTGTGAGTGCGGATGAGAGGGAGCACAGAGAAAGAAAGAAAACAGACAAGGAGACTTTGTCCTCGGTGTTCAAACAAATCAAGGGTATAGTAGGTAAATTTAACTTTGAGTTGTTTATGTATATAAAACAACATTTCCCTTTTCTTATTTCAACCAAAAATCACCCCTTGCCACCAAAGAAAACTAAAGAAAACAGTTATGTATAAGGTGGTCCAAATAAAAATGATTTTTAACGGTTCAAGAAATCTTCAGTAAGTTTAGATCAGGGATCTGAAACTGCCAGCCCGGGGTCATTTCCTCAAACCCCTTCCCTCCAGCCCATGACATGATGTCAAATATGATATAATCTGACCCGTAAAATGATTATTATTATTATTATTATTTATTTTATTTTATTTGGTGCAAAATAATGGCAAAGGCTAAAGGTGCCAGCAAATGCGTGCAAACGCAAGTTTTGGGACTGATGATGAAATAAAAACTAAAATTTTATAATTTAATGTATTTATTTAGCTCATCTATTTTACCAATATCTTGTTTCCAAATGCTTACTTTTACCCTTAGCTCCAATTAGGAGGTAACTTAATGCTGCGGTATGCAGAGACCCTGCTGTGCTTCAACATGACAAAGCCCCTGTGCTCAAAGAGATCCATAGCAATCCATAGATCCATAAAGAAGTGGTTTTCCCTATTTGGTGTGGTAGAACTTGACTGGCCTGCACAGAGCTCTGAGCTCAACCCCATCCAACACCTTTGGGATGAACTGGATTTATCAGTTTTCGACCTCACTAATGCTCCTGTGGCTGAATGGGAGCAAATCCCTGCTGCCAGGTTCCAGAATTTGGTGTAAAGCCTGAAACCAGAATAGTGGAGGCTGTTACAGCAGAAGATTAATGCCCATGGTTTTGGAATGAGGTGTCCGACAACCACATATGGGTGTAAAACTTCAGTGTCCACAGACTTTCGGCCATATATTGTATTTGTATTTAAAGATCCCCTCCAAATATGTATTACGACATATATATATATAGTTGTATAGTTATATAGTTAATATAAGATACATTTCTAAAGTTTTCCTGAACATTCTGAGTGTATGTGAGCATACAAACTTTCCACTTTCAGCAGATGAATGTAGAAACACCCATCTAGTGTCAAACTCTGCACATACATCATCCAAAAAAAACTGATGATTTTTGACTGGAGGGGGACTTTAATACAACTCCTCTAGGGGACCCCAGCCAGACTATTGATATTGCTGAGATCCACATAAACAGAAAATAAACTTCCGTGCGCTTGATTTTCTCAAACATGCAGTCATTAGGCATTTCCACAGGCGTGCTGCTAGAATTTTCCTTTAATACAGTGTAAATGAGAAAAGATAACTAAAAGCTCTGCTGAAACAGAGACTAAATAGATCATGATGCAGGTAATTAAATAGGAGTGCGACAGCTGAAAATGGGGGACTGAAAATGATACTGACAACAGGTAGGAGCCCCCACCCCCACCAACATCACTCACTCCTCCTTCTCCTACTCCTCTTCTCTGCCCTGCTCATCCCCCCTCTGCTCACTCAAACCATTAAATCAGCCAAAGAGCTGCTTTTTGACCGACCCGAGCTTCACAATATCAGTTAATTTCACCCACACGCACACACACACACACACAGACACACTCACATCGATATGCCGCACACACACACAATTGGCCGATGCATTTATTTGCCAAACTGTTTCCAACTGAAGTCCCCCAAACGGTGTGTCCCTCAGTACGCTCTCAGGTGACAGAGAAACATGAAACCATTCAGGGCCGTCACGAAACACAAGTCTTCACAAATGAACAGGTTGAAAGTCTGCAGACTCTGCTGGTTTTAGAGTAGAATAGGTTTTTTAAAGCGGTGGTCATTATCTTTCTTAAGACAATTGCATTCAAAAAGGAGAAATTAAAAATGATCTGAATTCAAATGAAATACTAATTAAAATCCTTTGTGCAAAGTCATTTGAGATGGATCAAGAAGCACTTTGAAGTGAGATCCTTTGTGAAATCATTGAAAAACACATCTTAGAACTCATTTTTAATTGACTGGCTTTTTAATAATTTCAGCAAAGATGTTATGACCGATCCTTCACTTTGTTTGTATACTCCTTCGATTTTTACATTACAGTTGCTTTACTGGTGTTTAGTTGCTTTTAATGCAGTATTTTGGTTCTTTTATTGTGCGTTTTATGTGAAGCACTGAGAACTGTGGGGTGGAACGTGCTTTGCCAGACAAGAAAAAGATAAATTATTTCAGTCAACTATTTTTGCAAAATTATTTGAAGTTATTATTTGAGGTACTTTATAGAGCGCACAAAGAAGCAGGCCCTTAACTGACTAAAGGAACACTTTAAAGGCCACGAATTGTGTGTGTTTTATTCAGAGTGAAGGATGCCCCAGAGATATTGATTTTCTTTCTTCCAAAATGAATATGTAACATTTTGGAAATGAAGATTTTAAATGATAAAAAAAAAAAAAAGTATTTGGGGGAATCATTGGAAAAGTGTCTTGTTCGGTCAAACAGGGCTCTGTATGAAAAATTATTTAAATTCAATACCATTTCGCGCGACACGGACGTTTATATCCCTGAGAATGTGATATTCACGGGCAGGAGGCCCACATCGTCTCTTAAGAGATGTCGTCAGCTTTTGGCAAGCTGCACAAAGGCGTTCAGGTTTCGTCTACAGAAAGAAGCAGATAAGGTTTCACTCCTCGCTGCTTGTTGCTCTATTAAGCCCTACTGTGAGATCGTATGAAATTTGAATTGGAGAGCTTTCTTGCCATCAGGAGCAGAACTACACGCTGCTGTTACGAACATGGGTAATCCCAGGGCAAGCTCTCATGTTTGCCCATGTGGCAAAGGAAGCATATTAGCCATGTTAGCTGTGTGTAATGTGTTCCGCCTGCACACAGTCTGCTACTGCTGATTGTGATGGGATTTACATGGGAAGAGCTTGCGAAAGTGTATTTATACAGCTGTATTTTTATTGAGTTAGCAGCTGTATGGGTGCTGAGGGACTTTCTGTCCTCTTCTCAGAGCAGACACTAATCCTTTGATCTTCACTGCTCAATTACAACAAATACATTTAAACCCTTTTAGCTTTTAACACTCTCAAGGGAGCAATCTAAAGGAAATCTAATGTATCTCACACTCCATGAAGCTACACGCACAGTGAAACACAAAGATGATGGAGGAAGTGACCTGCAATCTGAAGAGTTCAATTTTTATCCTTTCAAGGTGGCGATGAGGGAGTAATATGCCTCGGCAGAATGAATCACTTGGGTTAACCGTAGGAATCACAACAGCCAAACAACAGTCGGACTCTGGGTCCTGAAGCCAAACTGTTGAGACACCAGAGAACATTCACAGCCCAAGGAGGTGAAATCCACACCAGTCAGTCTATATCTAAAGCGTTACTTTCCCATGCTGCACCTGTTACTCCCGCACCAGCCCGTACCTGTGAGAAAGCCTGAGCACAGCATCAGATTGGACAAAGCATCTTTTCACAAACCTTTTGTATCTGTAAAGAACAGCAGCTTTCTGTTTGTCACCGGAGAGGCATGTGATTAGCATACCTGTCCTTTTAAAAGAAGGTGCTTTTTCTGTGCAGGATGCTTTATGGTTGAGTGTAGTTAACAGGAGGTGTAAATCATGGGCCAAAGGGTAGGCAAACTTTAGGTTTTTTACCACCTGTATATTGCCCTACTTCTGCTGAAACCAACATCCAGTGTAATGAAGTGTGACATCGCTGTACGTTGAAGGATCGTCTTCAGAGTCAGCGACAAAAGGCTACTGTTTTTTATGAGCTCGGGCTGGAAATAAAGTCTGCACCCGCTCCCACTTACGATAATTCATCAGCCAAGGTTCACCCTGACTTTATTGCTATGTAAATGTCTGTATCGTATTTCCTGCTCGGGAAAGGGGTGAGGGAGTGGCATTCAACTCAAATGAGAAAGGACTTGGCTCAGCTGAATGCAGGTTCTGATCCTTTGACAAACACACACCTAAATGCAATTATTACTGTTCCATCTGTGTGGCAGTACAACAAATGAATACCAAAGGTTGTTCTAGATTGTACCCATAAAGTGGTTTAAAGGATGAGGCTGGCAATACTCTATACCTTTCTTGTTGTCAGCAAACCCCAAAAACCAACAATGAATTGATCCTACTAACAAGTATTTTCTGTTTAGCCGAAGCCTGACATAGATCCATTGCTCAAAAACATATTTGGTATCTCTGAAAACTTTGTGATCTCCAATGCAATTTAAAGTTTAGTTCTGTGGGTTTGAACTCTGATTAGCTGCACAGGGTGAGCTTGCAATGACTGATGCAACAGCGGGTAAGTAGGGTTTAATTAAATCTCTAATAGTTTCTTTGTTATCTGAAATGTTGATATCTACCGGTATGAAAACCAATGACAAGTGGTAGTTAGCTGTCTACTCCCACCTGAATGTTAAACAGTAAGAATTCATTTCACTTTTTGAAGTGGCATCATCAGGCAGTTTCTTTCTAAAATTTTACTCAAAGCTCCACATGGGGCTCCAACAGAAATTCAAAACAGTCTTTGGAAAGGTCGATAGGTTGAATTTCTCTTCAGGCGGCTGTATGGAAAAGAAAACGACTCTCACAAAAGGAAGATCTGAGCCACCCAGTCATGCTTCCCTTTTGTCCACACTAGTCCCATTGTTTGTGACTTTAAAGGAGCTACTGTACATACAGGTATTCTTGGTCAGTTGAGGATCTTTTTTCCCCACAGACTCTCTTTGTTCTCAGAGTGGGCAGGAGGTGAACAATAGATGATGATGCAATGTGGGAGTTTCAGCTCCTTTAAAAGTAGCTCCCACTGCTGGTTTGAAAGGCCATTGAGGTGTGGTGCTGAATGCATTCAGAGACCCAGATAGTGGTTACATTCTCTCAGTGGAAGAAACTGGGACTGGAGCATGTTGTAACCATCCTCATTCTCATTATTTGAATTATTATTTTTAGGAGGACTGATTCTGGTAAAGAAACTAAACAAAACAAAAAACCTTTATTTTCAGATTTGGTTTACGATAAATTGCATATATGGTGTTCAGCATGAAAACATGACACTGAATTTGTTAACATGCAAGCAGGTATAATGTTTACCATGTTCACTATCTATAACTTTATTCTGCCATGTTAACATTTGCTAATTAGCACTAAATAGAAAGGTATGGCTGATGGGAAGGTCAGTTTTAAATGATTTGGTCATAAACCAAACCACTGTACGAAATGAAATTTTGGCCCTGATGGCGGCACCAAATAAAAGTCAGGAGGTTACCAGATCATCCTGTGGGGGACATTAATGTATGCATAAGATTTCATTGCAATCCATCCAATAGTTGTTGAGACATTTTACTCAAAACTACAAATGTCTTACTCATGGATATATCTATGATGAGAAAAAATATGCTGATAATATTGTAATAATATTTTTCAATGAGATTTTACTTGCAAGTTAAAGCCCCCTTCTTTTTCAGTCTTCCGACATGCAAGCTCAGTAAAACAGTTATTGCGTGAACTATACATAAAACTACAAAAAGTACAATAGTTTGAACGTGTAGAGTAGGCATTTATAATAATATCACCACAAGCTGCTTCAATGGCAGACAATCATAGCAGTAACAATGAACAGTAGGGATGTGTGTAACATTACAGTTTAATTGCATCTTGTGACACTTCCCATAGATGCTCACCCTCATATTGTGGATGGACACGAGGCGCATAGGATCCAAATTTGATCAGAACAGGGATGTCGAGTCCCTGTCGAACCCATTCCACCACATGCAGGGACGCTGAGGACACAGCAGCTGGGTCCGATAGAGGAAAACTACACTCCAGCTCCACCACACCTCCAACTTTTCCACGTACCTCCGGCCTCATACCTTCAGTGGTCACTGTTGGGTTTGTCAGAAGCAAAATGAACAAATTAATTTGATCATATGTGATAAAATATAATGAATGATTAATATGTACATTGGCATGCATATATCATGGGAAAAAATGAGCTGAAAGGACAGTGATATGCAAAAATCTTTCAAAACAGTGGGGATACTTACAAAATAGGCAAACACCGGCCACCACAGTGAAAGCCTGAAAATATGATCTCGCTGACCCCATATCTGTCACTCATACAACCTGCAGCATGTTCAATCTGTTGGCAAAAGAGACACAATTGTCACAATCACATTACTTCCTTGGCTCCATGAAAGAAGACAGCCATCTGTGACAGATTTCCAAACTAAAAAGGCTACAGCAGAGCTGTCGCTTCCATCATAATTTTACAGACAGGGGGAGAGGAGCGTTCAGATTTTTATACAGCTTTCCAATAACTGGAATTCATCCCATATCATTACACAAATGGGCAGAGCTGCCTCTGCTGCCAGAAATCTCCCTGGCCCTATATCCTTTTCTGAAAGTAAATGTCATAAATGTCACATAAATCTTTTGAGAGTCACGTGCAGAGCGACATCTAAGTGTTTTATTTAGAGCACATCAATGAAGACGTTTGGCTGGAGCAGCCAGAAGACTCAGCACTCAAGGACAGAGATAAGCTGAGCTGATGGGAGCGTACACTACAGCAAGGCATCAAGGAGTGCAACTTAATGTCAAGATCCAGCAACCGATTCAATACGGTCAAAACAACCCCTAATTCCATTTTATTAAATGAGTGAGGAAATCCACATGATGGGTCAGATTTAAGATACACACACTAAAAGTCATCTATCATTTTGACTGTCAATCACCTCCTACGGTAGAAGCTACCATCGACTGTGTGAAATCGCTCCCTAAATTAGTCAATGCCACACATGCTGATGAGAGGTCTTCTCTTCTACATATTTGCCCTGATATCACGCAGGCCACTTACAGTGCGCAACAGCTGCTGCTAGTTAAGGTCAGATTAGACAGGAAATGGGTATCAGCTCTACATCCACACACCAGTCCAGCCATTGCTTGCTTTAGCACACATCTAAAACAACATCTCATTAGGCTAAGTTAATTACAGTACACCCATGAAGAGCAACAGCTGAGTTTTGGTGGCAATGCCACATACAAAGGCTTGTGTTGTTAACATGTCTCCACACTCACAAAGGCAAACACTAAGGAGTGTGCCAGATAAGAGCCACAAACAAGCTATTTGGTCCATGTGCATACAACACTACAACTGTGTTTTGAGTATGTGGTTCACAGTGAGACAATGGTGAAACAATTCTTCAGATGCTTCACTCAAAGTGAGATTAACTTGTGCCAAACAGCGACCATTGCAGCAACAAATTACAATTATTGGATGATGCTAAATCCAATTACTCTCAAAGCATCAGTCAGTAAATGTATATGTGTGACAGACTGTATCAGTGTGCTGACTTTATGACTATATTCATTAGCGCTACTGTTACAATAACTTAGCTGAATGCTAAATATAGCTAGTTCATTTGTTCGTCACAACTACTTTTAATTCTTGAAGGTGGTGCTGATGGACACTTTTGTTCCTTAATTCAAGGCAAAACACAAACGACGAAGCTGCTCAGCAGGAGAGACGTGAAAAAGTGTTGGCAGAGGTGCGCCAGCTCCAGTGACAGCTCATGAAACACAAACTGGGGGAAAAAAAGCCACAAATCCTTGTGGTAAAAAATAACTCACTGTTTGTGAAACATTCTGTTATTGAAATTGAAAGTTAAACTTTGACTGACAGAATGTGGCTTGTATCATTTCTTTTGGCAATGGTAACGTACATTAATTTCTTGAATGCTACCTGCCACAAACTGCAATGCATTAGCACAGAGAGTACAGCACAAAACAACTTTACTGTCCATCAAATACAGCCAAAGTACTAAAGTGCTTTATACAGTACTGTATAGTGTGGGTTTGAATGCTGCATGATTATTATATAATATAATATAATATATTATTTTAGTTTATTTTAATTGACTTATTTTACTAAATGTATCTTACTTTTACAGTTTTTCTGTTAGGCACCAGTTTTAGTATTTACTACTTTTTTATTTGTAACTCTGCTTTGTTCTTATGTTACTGTAATTTTTGAGCAATTTCTGGCACATGTATGTGTTTAAAATCTTCTATTCAATTCAATTCAATTCAATTTTATTTGTGTAGCGCCAATTATTAGACAGAAGTTATCTCAGGACACTTTTCCAAATAGAGCAGGTCTAAGACGAACTCTTTAACATTTACAGGACCCAAGGCAGTAACCACCATGAGCAGAGCACTGCGACAGGGGAAGGAAAAAACCTGCTTTTAAGGGCAGAAACTGGACAGACCCTTCGGTCTAGTGCGGTGTCATCTCTGCCTGACCAGTTGGAGAGGAGAGGAGAGAGAGAGAGAGGAGAGAGAGAGAGAGAGGAGAGAGAGAGAGAGAGAGAGAGAGAGAAGAGAGAGAGAGAGAGAGACAGGATCAGACAGATTACAGCAACAACAGCAGCAACAAATCTACATTAACAGGTAATATCGATGACGATTCATGAAAAAGACGGTGACGACGACGACACAGCAAGCGACAGACAGCGGAGCAGCGCGAACAGCAAACGCAGCAAACAACAATACTCAACAACAACTAATAATAATATCAGTGATATTAGCCAATCGCAGTCTAGCAGACCATGGCAGAAGGGCTCCACCAGGATCATGAAGACTTGCAGGACGATAAAGCACAAGAATATATACTATATCTATATACTTGACTACCGTCCATTACAAATGACACGGTTGATTAGTGTATGGTCAAATGAATGATGTCCTTGTCATCATCGGTGATCTTTATACTTCCCGAGTATGAACAGTGAACACTGTCTTACCGTCTTAGCAGCAGGACAGGCCATATCCATAAGGTTTTTATGGGCTTTTCATTTCATGGCAGGGGCAAAGTCAGAGCCGGCGAAAAACAATTACGCAGGCTGTCAACAGCTGCGGCACTTGTTCCAACACACTCCCATGCCTCAGCAAACAGCACAGCATACACAGACTTTCCACAAAATCAAAGTGAAAGTCAAAAGAAATCCACAATCTGCGACGCGTCTGTTGATCAATGTCTATCAGTACGTCATCAGACTTCAACCCCCTGCCCTTCACCCATGTGGTTTTGTGCAAAGCAGCATAACAGAGTTTATACTGAACTTATTACATGTATTATTATTATTAATTAATTAGGCGGCGGGTGTTTGCTGAGACTGGGTCAGGTCTGCCAAGGTAAAACTACTTCATAATTATGAGTCTGTCGCTTGTCACCTTCCCACAGTGGGCAAGTATGAAAGCACAGTGCACACACTGGCACACATGCACAAATTGACTGCTTGTTGCCATGACTAAGCAGCGGTGACTCTTCCCTTCTTGCCACATAATGAACAGATGCTCAAGATCTTCTCCTCATTCCTCATCAACTGCCTCTTGTTAACTCATAAGAATTGAGATGATAAGAACTGAATATTCTGTAATGATGTTCATCATGTCACTGATTAAAGAAATATAACCAGACACTTCTGTTCTGCATTTGCTGTCCAAATTCAGACAGATGAATAAAAATGTTCTTTAGAGCTTTATTGCTCTAACAAGGTAAGACTTATTTGTGTGTCTGGCAAAATGGCAAGGCAATAAAGTGGAACAACAGTGATAAAAAATAAATAAAAAATCTGTTATGGAAGGAAGGAGAGCAGGGGAAGTGTGGCAAACTCAGCAAGAAGAAAGATGAGAAAGAAAAAAATCTTGTTAAAGCTACAGGACATTTTCTATCATTAAATCTGAACTCGCAAAGCTGCCAAACAAAGCGGCCTGCACAGGTGAAATGCACAGCCATGGCAACACAGATGGTCTCCAGACATTTCCCTCAGTCGTACTTTTCCTTCCTCTGACATTGAGGACATGCATAAACATAAGAAGAGTGACAGCACAGCACTCTGGAAAATGTTTAAAGCTATAATAAATGAGCCAGTAGCTCACAAAAGAAAGCGGGCTGTCTCACGCAGATTTATCAGCTGGCAGAAATAGAAATGTCAGTGACAGGCATGCTGTTGAAATTCTGTGTTGTTGCCGTTTTAATCTACACGTGGAGAAAAATGGGGACCAGCTGATTAATCGCGAGCGAGCCACAGTAACAGATTTATCAGCAGTTCTGCCTCCCCTTACCCCACCACACTTGAAACCAAAAGATAAAGGGGCTCCTACACATTTGTTTTCCGATCAAGTTCCATTTCTTTCATACGAGTGTTGCTGTGGTACATGTTTGTTTGTGTTCTCAAAACATGTCCTTAATAATGTCCCAGTTATTGATTCATACAGCTACAGGTACTGTATTTTTGAGGAAATGTGAAACACAGAATATTTGTTCAGTGGGTTAGGATAGTTTCAAGGCTCTTTGTATCTGCCAACAAGCTAAATTGGACATTAACCTCTGACCAGAAAGTAAGAGTAAAGAGGGTAAAACACACACATTCTTAATGTGCTGTGACCTAAAGGGGATAGACAAAATAATGTGAAAACTTAACATAAAAACTGTACTTTTAACTCGAAAGAATATTGTCAAGGTTAGAATCTGAAAATGGGCTTCTGTAAGCCATGTACAAGCTACGAACAAATAAAATGTACACTTACAGGGTACAGACAAAATAATGTAATCACCTCATGGAGAAGAGCTTAAGGTCTGAAGTAACTAAATCATCACTTGAGGCAATTAATCAGATTTTGCTCAGCTCTCTCTGGAGCTGCACAAAACTTAATGCAACTTTTTTCACATATGCTGTAAACATACTTTAATGCGTAATGTGAGTTCCCCTTTAACTTCCTACAGAGTTGGGAGTAGGTGGGAAAAACTATGGGACTACAATGGCACAGTGTATTTGGGCTTTAAGTCACAAACATTAGGATTTGAGACTCGATTTACTTTGCACTTAGCTCCCTGCAGACTTGAAATCAAACATATAAATTTCAAAGTGAGAAGGTGTGACCTGTTAAAAATCCCCAAACAGGCCTTGCATATTCTCACAGCTTGAATATCTAATCATTAGGGCTCTGCATCAAAAGGAATCAACCAGGTTAACCAACACAGCTTTCAAGGAAAATCCAGCAATCTCAAAGACTTAAAAAACACAAAAACTTTTAATTTACTCATAAAAACTTTGTGACTTGACTTGAACTGACAGTCCTGTACTCCAATAAACCTCACCACCATGTCCACCATATTGCAATCATATCACACACACAGTTCCAATCTTATTCCACTGAGATTTTTGAGACTATTCTTCTTGTGTTCTTCATGTTTCTGTAGCTTTTTAATCCAGCTCTTTGGAGCTCTCTTAGCTGACGTGCTCTGACAACTCACGTCAGAGTGCTGATTGCCAGTCGCCTCTCGCAGCTGCAAAATGCTGCTCATTGGCATTCAACCTGCTGCAACCCACCTCTGCAGCAGTAATTGTTATTGTGATTTAGTTACTTCAGACCTTAAGCTCTTCTCCATGAGGTGCTTACATTATTTTGTCTGTACCCTGTAAGTGTACATTTTATTTGTTCGTAGCTTGTACATGAGCTGCCATTTTCAGATTCTAACCTTCCCATCACAATAGAACACGCTGCATGGCTCCGTTTGATGTGCACTTAAGATAAAATAAGACCAATTAAAAAGGGGAGAAAAAAATTGGAAAAGTAAAAAGGTTTCCACTGCATGGGTACTGCATCGCTACGCTCAGAATACAAACATTAGGTATCTTCTATAAATCAGAAAGCAGGCAAATCCAGATGAAAGCCAAAATCTTTTTGTTGATTTAATCCGGTGGGGCAAAGTTATACAAATCAAAAATATATACCAAGTCTTGGCTATAAAGTCCCAAGTAAAGAGCAAATTTTGTGTTTCATGTCCTAAACATATAGTCATTATAAACCTCTCGTGAAAACTGAATGCCACTTAAATTTTTGCAGAGCGTATAATACATTTTTTTAATACTCTATTTATTCCTTTCCATTAAACTATTTCTTATGTTATTTGTCATTTCTGACCGAATGTTTTGCATGCACACGTCTGTTTTCTGTTGACAACAGCAGAGTCTTTACATCTCAATCTGATACTCTGATGTATCATCTGCTTTCTTTACTGCCAAACGCACCTTTCCCTAAATCTCCTACAATGTGATTGGCTGCTATGCACATTGATTGAAAAGGATATCTAATTGTCAGGGAAAATGAAGACCTTTAACATGAGTTAACTTATTTTTGGTCATGGAGAAAATCTAACCATTCTAACTCAAACATCCAAGTGATAAAAAAAGGCCACTGTAGATACATGGTGGTTCAACATGGCGGACTTCGTAGAGGAGGACCCGCTCCCCCGTAGATAAAAACGGCTCATTCTATAGTAATGAATATACAACAATTCTTATTTTCAGGTGATCATACACTAATGTATGTTACCCATGAATATTACATTCCATTTCTGCCAACAGATCCTCATACATGTTACAAAGTGGACCTTTAAAGGCCCTGAAAACCTATTTTTCTCAGCTTCTTACTATAAGTGATGAGGTCTTACAGTGCATGAACACACTCACTTCACGAGAGACTTCTGCTTTTTTAATTTTATTTCTATGTTCGTCTTGCTGGTTTGAAGTGCATAGGGCTGAACTGGAAAAGGCTGATGTACTAGCAAACCAATCAGCATGTTGCAACATTTGAATCCAACCTGATGACAGCTGATCTGCTCGAACCACACCCATACAATGAAGCAGATGGAGTTTTTGTGAGTTCAGCTCTTCATAAAGAATACTTAAAAATTAGTTTTTTGCTTACTGTGTCATTCCTATCAGTGCTTTAAAGAAGTTCTTGAACCTATGCTGGCAGGTTTTTATTCTGTTTTCAGTTGTTGGTTTCAATTCATGTCTTAAAAGTGTTCCAGGGACTTTCTGGACATGGATAATTCATCACAGTGATCACAATGTCTCCTTTAATGTTTGTCAAAGTTACATTATTGTCGAGTGGTGACAGTGAATAATTTCCGAATGAATCTCCTCTGATATTCTAAATCAACATTACAGCAGGCTTTCGACTCGTGAGTCATGCCCTGGGATAAAGCATGCAAAAGCAATGGTATGGACTAATAGTCTTTTGCTGATACTAATTTGCATCTACGTGAGCCTGTTTTAAGCATCAGATTTGAAGTGTTTACTGCATCCATATAATTCAGGTGGTGCCAAGTCAAGTCCTTGTCCTTCCCAAAAAGTAGGTAAAATTAATTTTCACTCACCTCCCACTGATGCTAACTTATATTATGAGAAATTGCGCCCATCTGGCACCTTAACAGACTCAATCAAACTAGAAATGGAATGTGAAATGATAAAATGAGCCCAGTCTGGGCAGGTTTTGAGAATATTTCTCCCATAATATATGAAATAATGATAGACTCTGGTCTCAATAGAAAATCAACAGCACAAAAAGATACAATTTCGTATTCTGTCTCGGGCTCTACATATTGCACCATTGTGAGGTTGTAAGTTATAGATGTATCCATGTAAGAAATAATATCCATCTCCCTGTTAGATGTACTGAGTAGGAAAAAGCATTAAAGACTTATGAGCTCAGACTCTGCTCCTCTTTCAAACCACAAACTATTAAAAAAAACATTCATCTGAATGAAAAACTGTTTCAAACAGTACTACTGTAATTTTAATGGAATTACAGGAGACTAGTTTCTACTCTAAATGATGGGATGGACCCAGCATTATTTCTGGCAGCCTTTTGAGGCAGTTTTCAGTTTGCCAAACATCCACTATCTTTATCCTGTTTTATCACAATTTTAAAGGGTTCAAAACTCTGTTCCAAAGGTTGCCACATCATTATAATCCAATTAGACCAATAAATCCCAGAGGGAAAGGAACAACAACACGCAGACGTGTCGTGTAAATGATTAACACAGCCCTAACTATTTAGATTTACATTTTTTTTTTAGGGGAGCTTGGACAGCTCATGAGAAGCAACTGCTGGTGAGTTCAAGCTCCACAAAACTTTCTGTTCAGTCTCACATTTCCCATTATGATGAAAAAAGCCCCCACAGAAACTTCATTACCGGCGTTTAAATGCATGACACAGTTTCAGAGGAAATTTCGCACTCCCCAGCACCGGCTCAAAACATTCATTTCTCATTCTTTCAAAGCTGCTGGAAGTCAGAAACACTTTCAGAATCATTAACTGCTGTTTTTTTTTTATTTTTTTATTTTTTTACTCATCCTACCTGTGGCTCGGTTACTTGCGGCCGCTGGGACACTTCCGTTTAATAACACATCCTCCGTATGTGCGCTTTAGTCCAACCTGTGGCTCGGTTTGCTCCGTGTGGAGTACCGGGTCACTGTCTGGCAAACTAAAAGCAGGCCTTGTTTCCTTTGTGGCGCTGCAAACCGCCTGAAACAGGAGCGTTTTTCTCTTTTTAAAACCCGCCGGGCAACAGGTGTTCGTTTCACGTACAGGTGACAGTGAAGCATCGACGGACTTTGCTGCTCCCTCACTGGGTTCAACCTCCCCCTCCTCCTCCCTCCTCCCTCCTCCTCCCACCTCTGGCTCGCTGCTCTCACGTTGTGTTCAAAAGACTCAAACCACATTAAATATAAATTGATACCACAGTCCTATAAGCCCTTTAATGTTTAAACCAATGCAGATTTTAATTAAAGAGTTTGTTTGTGCCGGCAGAGGATGAAAAGGGGGATTTTTTTTTCTTTCTCTTTCAGCCCTTAATCCCCTGGCGGCACCCAGTGTATTGGTAACCACAAGAGGGTGTCCTTTACCTGATGTTGGTGGCCAAACTAGGAGGGGAAAAGTGGCACTTGTTGGACTTGTGAGTCAAATTGAACACCATCACACAAAGAAGAAGCTGTTAAAGCCACTGTAGAAGAGATGTACAGCTTATTTGTGTGCTTTGTTTGCAGGGCCATTATGCACAATGGGTGCCTTTTCCATCCCAAGGACATTACAGGCATAAATATTCATGGTATTATCTGCATAATACATTATATTATAAAGCAAAGTGTCTAGAGTTACATTCTATAAACATCAATGAAAACTATCTAACACTGATGAAATAGAATTTCAGCCCGTCTCTCTGTAGCCACACTTAACCATGAACTATGATTGAAATCCTTTATTTGTATTGTTGTGTGGCTCTATTTCCAATTTAGACATGAAATACTTTTTTTTTTTCATCTGACATTCACAGGACATTGCACAAGTGGCATGATCAACAAGAAATAATATCATTTGAGTCTTCTGAAGGCCGCGGGAAGGCCAAAGGTAACTTCTCTTTTTTTATATGGCCAAGAATGTCAATCTCAATGTTCAAATCTGATAACTAAATTATTTCTAAGATGTTATTGTGGGTTTTTTTTAAAGATAGTTTTGGTGAGCCACTTGAAGGTGCACAGTGTTCTCATGCTATTAGCACTGATGCCATGTGGCTGCAGTTCATCTATTTGCTAAAAAGATGCTAAAACCTCCTGTTACTTTTAGACCTGTTGACGCTTTTAAGATGTTTTCACACTGATCTGCTGATTTGATTGCCGGAGCCTACCAGCATAATTTGTGACATTACAAGTAGTTTTGAAGTCAGTCCTGGTCCAGGATGCAATTTATAGTGTGATTAAGAAACTTGAAGCAGTGCACATACACTGAGAATGATGTAGTACTGAGTAGATGCCTTTTAGGGTTTTAATGTGGAAATGATGATGAAAAAATAATATAATAATATTATAAATGTCTTAATACATGGAGGGGATCTTTAAATTAAGAAGAAAGAATTACAAGGAAGGAAGTTACAGTAAGCTATTTATTTATCTGTACTTTTACATCTCATTATTAACTTTACTTGTGTGTGTGTGTGTGTGTGTGTGTGTGTGTTTCTAATACTGCACTTTCCTGTTTTTTTTATGTAATGTGTAAATATGATACATAAGGTCTATTTTGTTATGGTAATGGTTTAATACACCATTTATTTCTATAGTCTGCCATCACAATAAGCATGGCGATCAAGAATCACAAAACTTCAGATTTCTACTTTTATTTCTTTTATTTCTTAAATTCAAGCAAATGTACGTATAAAATACAGCTTTGTTATTAAAAACAAAATGAATACGCACAGCAATACTTCATAAAGAAAGTAATACATTCCATTCAAAAATAGACTGTTCCTCGGCAAAGTAATCAATCTTTGGATAGTACTGCAAATATAATCCTTCAGGAGAAGTATAGGCCCCCCCGAGCTTTTCATATCATATAGGTTAAATATTTGTTTAAGAACACTATAAAACAGCTGTGCAACTGTGCAAAGAACAACCCTAACCCTAACCCTAACGATTTTCAGTCATCTAGATCATGGAATTTCAAGCAGTAGTAAGTTAAAGGCACCTGTGTAGTGTCCAAAAATGTTTCACCACTCACCCCAGTTTTGTTATCATGTCACGACTGAGTGGTGAGTATTGTACATCAGCAACATGTTGCTGTAGGGTCGCAGGCAAGCAGCTGCTCTGACATCCTCTACTCATGTTTGGTTCACTGTTGTAGAATCTGTAAAGCCTCTAAGGTTCGTCGAGCTTTTGTGTGGAGGATAATACGACACAGAGCAGCAAATAAACAACACCACTGTTTTCAAAAATCAGCAAAAATCCTGCATGGTGCACCTGTGAACGAACACGAGTCTCCGTGGCAGAACAGTGATAAAGGTTTTGCCTTATTGGCTACATACATTCAGAAACTCAAAGTAAACAGCAGGCAACAGTCTCAGGATACACAGTGTGGCAAAAGGAAGGGTGTTCTCCGCCAATCAGCAGCCGTCATTTGGCTCAGTCGCCAAAATCTGGGATGTCGTCATAGGAGTAACCCCGGTAACCCTTGGCGGCGTAGTAGGCGATTCTCAAATGGTAAAATCCGGGAAGGAAAACAAGTAGTCCTATGATAATGACAGGAATGGTGCGGTCTGGATGCTGAAAACAACAACAAGAACCTGTGATGAGGGGTTGGAAGTAGACACTTATTTGTCAACAGGTCTACAAAGAACTTGGGAACCATTGATCTACTTTTGGTGTGTATCAGATCCACTCTTTAGCCACAAACATAATATACTAGAATACTGTAGTTGGTAATGGGGGCTGGAAGAAGCATCACAGAGTGATTAATGTGCTCAACAGACTTTAACATACTTACCGCCTGCCAGCATGATATAAACACCCTCTGAATGAAAAGCGTGTGCAGGAGGCACACAGACAATGTGATGACTTCATCTGTCTGAGATCTGGTTTCATGTAAATCATTTCATATACATACTGTAGCAGCTAACCACCAGGAGGCACAGGCAGTTCCTATCAAGGACCAGTGGAGTGTCTCATTTCACCACCAGATGGCAATCTTGTGCACTGAGTCACTGTGGCCCTCTCACCGTTTGTTTGAAAGATGCACTGCAGCATGGGCCATGGCAGTAGGTACCATCTTATCGTGGTTGTAAGCATTTAAAACATTATGTTTTCCTGAGACATGTACAGCATCTATTTAGATATACTGTATGTGAGGTGGTTTTTAAAGGGCCAGTTCACCCAAATAATCAAAAATATAGACATATGGTCCACATACTGTCTCATGTTCTTCATCAGCCAATAGCTCCATCACCATGTCGACTGAGCAGACTCCATCCACTAATGAAGACCAGGTGATGCAGATAAAACCAGAACAGTAAGTGGAACTTGTGCTAAGATTTATTTGTATTTTTTTTTTAAACAGAGAATAAACTCAAGTGTCTTTTTGTCATTTTGGAGAACTGGCCACTTGAGTCTTCAGATTTAATAACTGTGTAACTCAATGAATTGTTATTAGCTTTATTAGCATGTTTCAGCATGAGATTCATTTTTCTTTTATTTGCTACTGTAATGGATCATGTTGGCTTTGACGTAGTTTCAGTTCACCAAAAACACTGTTGTCCAACACACACACACACACAGAGAAAACAATTATAGCACCATCTTTCAACCCAAAAACTTCTTGTCTTGCAAAAGAACCTGCCTACATCCCATTTTGCCATTATTCATTGCTTGAACCTTGTGTAATTTGTGGTATTAGATATGCTATTCTAATTGCGTGGGCTAATTGGCAAGTAGATGGCTCACATACTCTGATGTTGCCTTCATGTCAGATCAAATTTTCTGCAAACACAATCTGCAGACTGGAAAAAACATTAACATTAACCTCCTACTGATAAATTACAAATGTAATATGCACAGACTCTGTTATCTCCCACATTGAGTCATGAATTAAGGAAGCAGAAATCACAGCAGGGGATCCACCGAAATTGGCACTCCAAGGTATGAAATATAAAAATCTTTAGTTGTATTCAAACACACACAAAACCATTGTGGCCAGGAGAAGCAAGAACACATCACAAAACTGGCAGCAAGGCAATAAAATGTCAGGACAACTGCTCAATTACAGCTATTTAAAGACAAGATTAACAGCAGCGTCAGTGTTTTAATTACTGCTTGAGTTAAAATTTTGGAGGCTGTGTTGGCTCTGTAGATGTGTGTGAAAAGTATGGCCGGGTATCACACCGCAATACTTTTTTGGTAGGGATTGAAATGTTTTCATACCTCAGCGCTGAGTGTCAAAAACTGGCATGTCTGGTAAGATTAACTGTCTTGTTTACTAATTCTTTGATCAGATAGTTCCTGATTTTAATCAAAAGGTAGCAGATTTGATGATATTTCATGTATTTTCTTTTACGGCTGAAACATTTCCTTCTTTAACATTGAATTAAAAAAAATTGCATAAAGACATGATTATATCCACTACACAGTAATAGCAAAGCTAATAACAATTCAGTTATTAAATGGTTGTAGTTTAATCTGAAGAGTCGAGGGGTTAGTTCTCCAAAATGACAAAAAGACAGTGAGCTTATTCTGTTCAAAAAAATAAAAGTAATCTTTGCACAAGCTCCACCTACTTCTCTGCTTTCATCCACATCACCTGATCTTCACTAGTGGATGGAGTTTGCTTGCCTGGTTGAATATTTTTAAAGGTTAATTGCTTGTACGGCAAATGTCAAGCTAATGGCAGCAGCCAGTTGAGTTAGCATAGCACAAAGACTGGAAACAGCTAGTCTAAATTTGTCCAAAGATAACAAAATCTGCCTAGTTAGTGCAGCTGGCCAGGCTGGCACATAACTCCCAGTACAACCACAACTTGTTATCTTTAAGCGTCATGTACACTTGCCGTTCCCGACCTGTAGCGTGACAATGTGACGATTTTCCAAATCAGTCGCGGAGGTTCTTCCAAATTTTCCGGCATATGGCCTCCTCTTTTCCAACATTCATGGCGATTTCTCGCCATGAATTCTGGCACCTCTGTGT